CCTTAGGACTGCTGGACCTTAAGGTTAACCCTGGGGTTGGTCTGGAGCTCACTACACTCACAACACTCATATACACCCACACTCACTCACAACCCTAAACTAAAATTTCTAGCCTAGATCTCTTGATCTTTTGGGATACTCATGTAGATGCTCCCCTAAACCTATTAGCCCTAGGGATATGGTTTGGCTAAGACCACTATGTAGAGGACCCGAAATGGGGTTTCCATTGGCCCATGGCTTGTTGGTGATAATTGGTACCTCAACTCTACCAAAATACTCTTCTTGGCCTTTTACCCTTAAAACACCCCCAAATTACCAAAATACCCCTCTTGGACCCAAAATTCCAAAAATTTCAAAAATTCCCAAAAAATCCCAAAAAATCCCAAATATTACCAATTTAATTTCTCTCAACTACCACATGACACAATTAGTCCAATTTGACCATCTTTAACCAAAATCCCCAAATTTCTCTTTAAAGACCCAAATTCCCCAAATTCAATTCAAATGTCCATCAATTTGACCTAAATTGACCTCAATTTCAATCCTAAACTCAAATTGAATTTTGATATGATCAAAGTAAACCAATTTAAGCTCAATTGGTCCATGATTTGAACCCAATTTTGAGTTATGTTAAAGCCCCAATTTTGACCATATGACCTAATCTCACCAAATTGAACCCATAGCCTAGTCAATTGGCCCCAATTAATGTTGAAAAATCTTGGTAACATCCCTATACATGAAAAATCCAAAATTCCCAAATTTAGCCCTAAATTGGCTAAGTCCCCAAATTTCATCCAATTGATTGCCTTAGCCTCCAAATTGGCATCGAATTCATGTTTAAAACTCTTCATGAGGTCCCCATTGACAATTTACAATAATCAATTGGACTTAGCCCAAGGCTAACCCAAGCTAGACCCAAGCCTAGCCCAACACAACCAAATTGATTAAGGTTCAAAATTCCCTCAAATTGACCCTTCAATTGAACTCAAAACCACTTCCATCCTTCACCAAAGTTATTCCTTATGATCATATAAACCAAATAAAATATTTATTTGGGCTAATTGACATGGCTAACCTAGCCCAAACCCAAGTTTTGGTCATTTGCACTCACTTGGACCCATGCACTAAATGTGACCTAACCACCCTAAAGTCACCAAATTAACTCCACCCCAAATATTAGTTGGACTTAGTGACCAGTCCAAAC